ATATGCAAACCAGTACAGACGTTTTTTTAACAGTGCGGCTGCGGCATACTTTAATCCAGAAACAAGCAGCTGGTGGGCGCATCTTGGCTTTGCGTTCATCCCATTCAGCAACCCCCACCACTCCGCCCACCACTCCGCCCCTCCCCACCCCGCCTCCTCCCACCGCGGCGCACGGACGGCCTTCTAATTGCATTAAAACGAATTTTCCTCCATCCGGGGGGGCGCGCCTTTGCTCCGTCTTATATCTTTCGCCCTTCCCTGACCCGCTGAGAAGACCACCTCTGCCACACCACCCCGCCCCTCCCCGCCGCGCCCCCCTGCAGCGGACACCTTTAGCAGGCTAATTACAACCCCCTCCCTGCCCCCTACTGCACGTGGCGTTGTAGATGTAGAGGGCGGAGACGGAGGGGTTTAGGGCAGGACACGCTTAAGGGTAGGTGCTATATTGCGTTAGTTGGTGGGTAGGAGGTTGAACACAGCTCTCGTGCTAGGGTCGGGAAGGTGAGTTGGAAGTTTTCGTTACTTTAGGATTGGAGTAGGGTGCACATGTGTTGTTTCAGGCAGTAGGTTATGCTGCATGTAGATGGGTTGGAGCAGGCCAGCGGGTAGGTGAGTTAGTAAAGTTCAAGGTTCGGAGACTGGGGACGGTGGGGTGGGAGGCAGGGAGGAGATCCCGGGCAAGGACGCAACAGCGGGCGGTGCGGGCTGCGGCGGGACCGGCGCACCCACAACGCTCATTTCATTTCGCAAACATTCCCCGACTGTTTTTATTTTAAAATTGGATGGACGTGGCAAAGTTTACGAACGGGGAGATAATGATAGAATAATAAAAAGAAAGGGTCGAGCAAAAGAGACCGAGGAGACGAGGAGCAGGCGCAGAAATGCTTTAGGGGAAAAAGAACGAGCGCGTGGAGCTGAGGAAAGGCAAGGAATACGTTTGGTTGGCCTAGAATTCTAGTCGACGGAGGAGGGAGGGAGGGTGACGTGCAAGGGGGATAGAAGGGGAGGAGAGGGCAGAGACCGCAACATCCGCAGATTGTTGAAGTAAAAATAAGAAACAGCGCTAAATGTATTTAGGGAACGATAATGCCGGGCCCGGCCTCCCCTGTTATCACGACCGCCTGCCTCCTCCTTATCAGCCGAGTGGTGGGCGGACTGAGGGGAGGGAGCGACCCGAGCGACCTGCGGAGATACAATTTATCACCGACGTTGCTTTTAAAATTATTGTAATTGAGGCTGACTTGTGCGCGTGCTGATTCACGCTCGCCCTGCGTAAGTAATGAAAAAAAAAAAAGGAAAGATGAAAGAGAATTGGTGATAGGATAAACTTTCTTTACTCGCGGGACGGAAGAAAAGCCAGCAACGGTTAAAAGGGTCTAAAAATGCAACAGAACGTGCCTCCCCCGCCGTAAGTGTCCACCCCCTCCTCTAGGCGGTCGAGGACCCTCGAGTCCTGCACGTCCTGACATAACAGTGGGGAACAACAGGTCTCCCCCCTCCCCCCTCTCTCTCTCTCTCTCTCTCTCTCTCTCTCTCTCTCTCTCTCTCTCTC